CCTTCTCCTCCTCCTCCTTGTTGTCCTCCTCCTCCTCCTCATCCTCCTCCTTCTCGTCCTCGCCCTCGTCCCCGTCATCATCCTCCTCTTCCTCATCCTCCTCCTCCTGCTCCTCCCCCTCCCCCTCCTCCTCATGCTTCTCCTCCTCCTCCTCCTTCTCCTCCTCCTCCTTCTGCTCCTCCGCCTCTGCCTCCGCCTCCTCCTTTCTCTCCTGTTACCCCCTCTCTTCCTCCCCCAGCGGCTGCGAGAGCACTTAGGCAAATAGCTTGGCCAAGTGCTCTTGTCATACGCTTCTTGGGAAGCTCATGGGGCTCCAAGAAATCTACTCGGAGCGTCTGGTCCAAACCTTCCCGACCACTTCTGGCTGCCACTTTCATCACGGGGATCGTCTTCCAGGGTCGGCGGCACCGGCCTCAAGGCGTTCACGAAAACGAAAACATGTCGTACGTTACAAATTGCATGTCTTGCTTCGCCACCGTCACATGTTGGTACCGACCCTACGTCATATGATAGTTGGAAACTTACGTCACCGATGCATTCCTGTCAACGTTGCATCCAGAATTGCACCCCGCCCTCATACTGGCTCACCGGCTGCTCCAAACAAAATACGCATCAGGTATTGCATCGTATCTGATATCATCCGTTTACAGGGAAACTACTCACGATGAGGCGCAGCATGCGGCACAGCGGTGGGAGCATCGAAACACTGTGCCCAAATCCCACCAGCCTTTCGGGCGTGAGTGGTTTAGCGAGTTTCATATTCCATCATCCCTCTTCCCCTGCGGGGAGGGATTCGCCACTCCCCCATATGCCCTCCCCCTGGGTCAGGAGGGGAGGGGTCGCGAGGGGTTGGAGCGTCCAAAACTGCCTCGGCGGGGAAGCCAAACTCACTGTTATTACTAAGGTGTTGGCCACATGTTGGCTTCCTGGGCGAGACCCTAATTAGGGAGCTCCCCTCCTTCGATCGATCTCATCCTAGATGGCCCAAAGATGGCCCCCAAGGCTCCCAAGGGTGCCCCAAGACGGCCACAAAAGCTGCACAGGGGGGCCCAAGAGGCCCCAAGAGGCCACCTAGGTGCCCCCAAGAGGCTCCCAAGAGACCCCCAAGAGGCCCCGAGAGGCCCCCCAGAGGCACCCAAGACGGCCCAAGAGGCCTCGGCAAGGAGGTCTACAGCATTGATGTGACTAAGGTGTCGGCAACATGTTGGCTTCCTGGGGTGGAATCCTAATGAGGGAGCTCCCCTCCTTTGATCGATCTCCTCCAAGATGGCCCAATGATGGCCCCCAAGGCTCCCAAGGGTGCCCCAAGACGGCCCCAAGACGTGCCCAGGAGGTCCAAAGAGGCCCCTTAAGACGCCCCAAAGATGCCTCCGAGAGGCTCCGAAGAGACCGCCTGAGAGGCCCCAAGAGGCCCGCCATAGTGCACCCAAGACGCCCCAAGCGGCCCCCAGGACGGCCAAGAAAACCTCCAAAACGCCTGAAGATGACTCCAAGAAACTATCGAAGAAGAAAAATAATCTGAAGAGAATCCGAGAGGCATCATGAAGCCACTGGCCTTTTTGCTCGACCTCCTCCTCCTCCTCCTCCTCCTCCCCCTCCTCCTCCCCCTCTTCCTCATCCGCATGCGCCTCCGCCTTTCTCCTCCCTCCTCCCCCTACCCCTCTCCCTCCTCCTCCGCCTCCTCCTCCTCCTCCTCCTCCTCCTCCTCCTCCTCCTCCTCCTCCTCCTCCTCCTCCTCCTCCTCCTCCTCCTCCTCCTCCTCCCCCTCTTGGGGTATGACGTCTTACCCAGCCCTTTATCCCACTGCATGCTCTGCCACATCCCCTGATCAGGTCAACTCGTCTGGACATCGTTTCTAGATGGGCAGATAGGGTTACGCGAATCATCTAGAATTGGACAGCCAACAGCCAACGACACTTCCTCGACGCTGCCTATCGAGCCTTCCAGGGCAACTGGCGGAGGACAACCCTCTTGAATTGAATGACAACTCGAACAGCGCCACTGCCACGTCTAATATGGCAACGCTGTACACAATGGTTTGGCAGAGTCTGCATCAGGCAACCGTGCTTGAGGGATATATCAATTTGGCGGAACAAGATGGGGGAACGACCTAGGGGGTAGCCTTCTAATCAGGTTCTGGACCTTTCTGAAAAGGGGACCAGCCCCGCAAGAACAGGACGGGGGCCTTCTCGTAAGGCAGCTCCCCCTGATCCTGCACACATTCTGCTCGCCGCCAACCTGGGGAGGAATGGGCTCGAGTGCCAAACGGAACACAGACAGCCCCAGACGCAGTCCTGGCTGGACCCCACAAGCCCCCATGGTAGTCCGAGGCCGCGGGGGGTGGCAAAGGGGGTTTGGGACCGACCCCCAAGACTACCCTGCGGTCCGGTTCAGGGGAATCGGAATTACCTCCAAGGCCCCCTTGTGCGCAGCCCCACGATTCGCCAGGCTCGCTGGGAAACGCGGCCTCTAACCCTCCCGTTTCTTCGGAACGCGTCACCAGCAGCAGGGGTGGAACGCGGGCACGCCACCAGGGCCGCCGAGGCCAAGACCGCGGCGACGGGGACCAGTACCCACCGGCGCCCGCGTACGCCTCGAGGGGGAAGGAAGAGAAAGCAGAGGGAGCGAGGGACGGGGAAAGGGACGAGGAGGAGAAAGGGAAGGCGGAGAAAAAGGAGGAGGGGAAGAAGGGAGAGCGGGGGAGGGGACGGGCGGGGGCAGGAGAGGGAGCACAGCTTACTTGAAGGAGAACTGGGACACAAAAATAAATACACACAAACAAATTTGTTTCCCATATTTTCCCATATTTTCCGGGGAATCGACGATTAATTGTGTCTGTGTGTTTTTTCCCCTCCTGATTACTCCCATAACGCGTTGTCAATAATCAGCGCAACTAGTGTTTGATCGTGCATGCCTGTTGTGCGGCAGAACTTGTGATCTGTTCTAGACGTTCAAGTGGCAACCCGCTTGCGACAGAGACAGAGCGCGGTCAGACTTCGACCCAACGGCCGAGGGGGATAAATACTTAAGCGGGTCACAGCACAGACACATACAAAATTAGTAACGGGATCCCTTGGGTACAGCAACGGCCGACGCCGTACACACGGGATGGATGCATTAAAAATCATGTTCCCACCCCGTGGACCGCCGTACCTGGCACCCACTGCCGAACATCGGACAAAGTGTGTCAAAGCCCATGATGGCGCATGGACCTCAGGACCGCACTTATTCGTAGACACATGACAGCATAGCCCAACGTGAACTTTACCGCGATTTGACCATGCCTTCATTACCCACAGAGCCATCCACCAGCAACTACTCTCATGGCATGGTGGCGTCGGTCACTGCCGATGTCAATATGCACCTCGAACCCTTCCCAACAGGTTTCAAACGTGAGTTAATACGCATATATTAGCTATGTCTGGATTCAAGCAGCAAATACGTGAAGGACCGAAGCCGCCGTCCGCCGGTTTCACCCACGTCTCTCTGAAGTTTGGCATGCAAATGCCCCCGTAATGACTTCGCGACAGCTGGGATGGTTCCCAGATCCTCCGTGTCGGTTACGGACCGTTGAATCGGTGTGAGTGAAGCACAGCGGGACAGGCCTTCATGTGACGAAGCACAGGTTACCTTCCCACTCGCGGAGCAGAAGTGGCGACATCTGGCTTCTGTAGCGGGCACGCTCATGCAATCGGCATATCTGTTGCGCACCCTACGACTGCCTTGCTATCGCGAACATCCTCGTCGGCGCCCCAGGGCTCGCTACACTTCTCGCAGAGGCGAGCAGTTCCCCCCTCGACCGTGGGCACAGATCGCAAAGAACGCCACGTTTAGCCAGTCCCCCAGTCGCGCCAGGGAGCGCCACCCTGCCGCCGCCCCCTCCAGCCTGACTGCCCGCGCCCAGAGATTCGCACTGATAGCGCCAGGAGATTCGCTCCTCGGCGGGGAGGCCTCCCACGCCAGGACTCGCGAGGCAATCCTCTCGCCGCCGTTCCAGCGCACAGACGTCATCGCATCTGGCTCGCGCGACATGCAAGTGATTGTCGTCGGTGTCGCCGCGACGAATCCGGACAATTTCGGCCGGGGCTTCACCCACGCGGGCCCTGCATCGCCAGCGTGGGTCTCGGGGGGCGCAGCCGCCAGTGGCGGCCGACTTCAGCTCGCGGGCCCCTTCGCGCGCCCCGGCGAAGTAGTTGATAGAGGCGTCGCCATTGGGCCGCGGCACCTGACACCCTGGCGACAAACCTCGCGGCGTTTCTTGGATGACCGACACCCAGCACCGGTGGCAATATCTCCACATGTACATCGATGCATCTCTGAACATGTCCACGCCGCAAGAGGGGATGGTCAGCGCAAGCACGCGCAGCATCCTAGCCCAGCTCATCTCACGCTCTGACTCACTTCGCCATCGGCGGCGCAAGTCTGCAACCCAAAATATTGTCCAGATGACGGAACGCAATGAGAACCGCGCGCTCTGGCCACCTTAATTAAGCCCACTGAAGAGTTGCGGTACTTGTCTCCATAGAGCGCAAACTTCGCAAGAGTTCACACGGCGGCTCTCACCACGCCTCAGTCAGTGAGCTTCTCCGCGCGAACACATCCACTCGGACGCCAGCACAAAGAACTCTGATGACGCACGTGCAAGAGTCCTTCCTGGCGTAGACGACCCAGTTTACAGCATTGCCAGCGACGCCCCACATCGACAAGGGAAAAGCGTCGATCCACCCCACGCCCCGGGAAACTTTGCAAAGCGCGGCGGCATCCAGGATGGTAGCTGCCATCAGCGGATGCCCATGAGCCAGACTGGATACCGAAACCGCGCGCTTCATGGGGGGTAACCCTCGTCGCAAGCTGAGAGCAGTCGACAAATTGCGACCCGGCTGGCCTTACAGAGGGACACATACGATGGGGGCTACTTGCTCTCCACGATTACCTCGCGCTTGCCTTCACACGCAATGTAACCAACTCGCGATAAAAAAAGGCGCCTCCGAAGCTCTTGCCTAATTAGGACACACAAAGCAAACGCAGATGCCAAGTAGCTCGCACCACACACGGAAGCAGCGCGCGCCAAAGTATACACCAAGACCACGACGGGGAGGCGGTGCTGTCCATCAGCGTCTCCCCCGACGTGTTCGAATAGGTCCGACATCGGCGCCCGCCCAACCGGGTTGCCAACCGCCCATCGTCTCGGCACAGAAGGGGGGGCCGAAGCATGCCTCGAAACCAAGCGCTCGGGCCCCATCCTCCGCGCCAAAGTAATCGGCCCACACCGAGACCGCCCGGACTGAAGCTACGGGGCAACGTCGGATCCCGCCCGGCACGATAGAACGTCAGCGCGACAGCTGACATCCTCTGGCGTTCCGCGCCCTTCATACCCGAGCAAAGCTCCACTGGCTCACACGGCCCAAGATTGCTGGAGACCCGCGGCGCCACATTCACTGGGGGCCACCTTCGCGATTCCAGCGCCTTTCGCAGCCCGCGCCCTTGTCTTTTCACTGAGAAGCGCGTCGGCCCTGTTCACAGCAGCTGCGCTTCCGCACCTCAAAACGCAATGGGTTACCTTTGCCATATAGCGCAGGTTGGGTCTCGCGCAGTCGGGGATGCCGGATCAAATGGCTCAAATGCCCCAGTGCGCGGCGGGGCCCCTCGCGAGTCTCTTAAATCCCAGCTTCCCCTGGCTGGCGGCCGGGCCACGACGCGCAAGTCGCAACGAGGGCAAACAAGCATCGCTGTGTCCTTAGATAGAGGCGGGAACAAACCCACCCTGCCCCGCGAAATCTCAGGCCGGCATAGCTTCCAACATGGCCTTCACACAACGCCCTGTCACAAGGATCTGCCCCGACTGTCTGATTGCCTCACGCCCCTGTCGGGCCTTTGCGACGCCGCCCGGCGGCTGGGCATTGCCTGCATGACATCATTGAGGTCCACGCGGGAGTCAGCGATGCACCTCCCGCCTGGCTGCAGACGCTGCCGCGAGTGCGACTGGCAGGGTGGCGCGCATGCCAGCGGCGCGAGCTTGCACGGACCGCGCATCACAAGCCAAATGTTGCTCGTCGAGCAATCGACGAAGTCCGAGGTACTCAACCAGCGGTGGTCGTTCGGAGAAAGCTGGGTCTGCGGTCGCCATCCCTTTTCCCCGCCAATACGGGGCCGATCAAGCGAGTCGGGCTCGCCGTCGCCGCGCCTGGCAAATCATCGCACTCGGCGTCGTCAATGTGCTCCGCCCTGCGCGGGCGCGGCGACGAGACCCGCCCTCACCGCGCATCGCGCGGGTTCAAAAGCTCTCGCCCATCTCTGGGCCTGGGCCAGCGTCTGATTCCATCGGCCGGCAGCGCACAGCGCCGTCGGATCGCATGACCCACTCCGCCCTTAAAACCAAAACTCGACGACGGGATGGAAGCGGCGCGGTAGTTCCGCGGCTGAGCGCATCCATGAGCGCGAATGCTCTCGAAGAGAATGCAGTCGTATGCTGGCTTGTCAACTCGCGCACTCCCCAAGCGGCAGGCCCTCCTCGCGCGGGTCGCAACTCTCCTCTCGCGGCGACTCAAGGCTAGTGCCGGGCACAGAGACATCGACTGCTCCAATTGGGGCCGAAATCGAAACGACGCCCGTCAACGACCACAGAAAGGCGCACAAATCCTCGACGCTGCTGGCCCAGGCGGGGACTCCAACTGCGACCCGACAGACCACGCCGGCCTCTGGCCGCGCCCACTGATGCCGCCCCACGCGCACGGCGAGCCGCCCGAACGGGCATGGCCTCGGAAATGAATGTGTCAACGAGCTCCTTGCCCCCGCCCCCGCGGCCGCCAATCTCGAGCTCGTCGTCCTGCATCGGCGCGATCACATGGCGCGCGGCCCCCGCGTCGATCACGGCGCCCCCAGTCGCCTGGCGGCGCCGGATGCAGAACCCCCCGCCGCCTCCCAGCTCGTTACCCTTCGCTGCTGCTCGCGCAACTCGCGATGGAAACGGCACCACTTCCGATGTCGAACGATGGCGACGTCGACCGCCAGCCCCTCGGGAAGACACCTGCACGCCCAAAGACCCCGCGATGCAGCACTTGCTCTGCGAGGGATCTACGGGCCGAGCGTCGCGCCCCGCCCCTTCACTTTCGCGCTGTCCAAGCGGCCGGACTCGACGATTACCGAGAAGGAAAATAATTACACCACTTACGAACGCTGCCCAGATTGAACCCCTCTGGGGAAGACTAGCCTAGGTGCGACGCGTCAGTGACGCAAGGTTAGCGCACGCCGCAAGACGCCCAACCAACGCCCCCCCGGCGTTGGATCCCAGAAGGAGCCCCGAAGCCTGCATTACTGGACCGACGCGGCAGCGGGCATCGGGGCGGAGGCCGCCCCAGCCCAGGGAGGGGGAGGGGGGGTGGGAGGGAGAACTCCACCAGAAAACGCGATCGTTGGACATCATGGAGACAGCATCAGGGCCCTCGTTTAGCACGCGACGTCAGCGCACCTAGTCCAGGCCCCCCACCTCACCAATGCTCGAATCCACAAACACACCGACGCAGCAGGGGACTTCGGGCAAGTTCATTTCGGGCGACTGAAGGCTCCAGAGAGCGAGCCAGCGTTCCTGCGTTT